AGGGTCTGGTTGAAGTGGTGATGGTCAATGGCAGCCTTGGCTGCAGTGACCATGAGATGGTGGAGTTTAAGATCCTGTGTGGGAGGGATAGAATACCTAGCAAGGCCACAGTTCTGGATTTCTGAAGGGCCAACTTTGGCCTCTTCAATCAATTGCTAAGGGAAGTTTCATGGGAAAGGGTATTAGGTGGAAAAGTGGCTCGAGATAGTTGGTCAGCATTTAAGGACCACTTCTTCCAAGCTCAGGATCAGAGGGCCCCAATGGGTAGGAAATCAAGTAAGGGAGCCAGGAGACCAGCATGGTTAAACAAGGAATTGCTGGGCAAACTTGTGGAAAAAGAGAATCTATGGATTATGGAAAGAGGGGCTGGCCACTTGGGAGGAATATAGGGTAGTTGTTAGAGGATGTAGGGAGGCAATTAGGACAGCTAAGGCCTCCTTGGAACTTCATCTTGCAAGTCGGGTTAAGGACAATAGGAAGGGCTTTTTCAAATACATAGTGGATAAAACTAACACAAGAGGCAATATAGGCCCACTGCTGAACGAGGTGGGTGCCCTGGAGACAGAAGATTTAAAGAAGGCAGAGGTACTGAATGCCTTCTTTGCCTCTGTCTTTACTCCTGCAGACTCTCCCCGGGGGCCCAAGATTCCTGTAGCCTCAGAAGGAGTCAGGATAAAGGAGGAGTTTGCTTTGGTAGATGAGGATTGGGTTAGAGATCAGTTAAGCAGTCTGGATATCTATAAATCGATGGGTCCGGATGGAATACACCCACGGGTGCTGAGGGAGCTGGTGGAGGTCATTGCTAGGCAACTCTCCATCATCTTTGGTAAGTCATGGGAAACAGGAGAGGTGCCTGAGGATTGGAGGATGGCAAATGTCACGCCAGTCTATAAGAAGGGCAAGAAGGAGGAGCCAGGTAATTATAGACTGGTCAGCCTTACCTCCATCCCTGGAAATGTGATGGAACAACTTATTCTTGACACCATCTCTAGACATATCAAGGATGAGGGGGTCATTAAGAGCAGCCAACATGGTTTTACCAAGGGGAAGTCATGTTTGACCAACCTTATAGCCTTCTATGAGGAAGTAACTAGGTGGATGCATGATGATAGAGCGGTAGATGTGGTTTTCCTTAATTTCAGTAAGGCATTTGATACTGTCTCCCACAGCATCCTCATAGATAAGCTAAGGAAGTGTGGGCTTGGTGATCAGATAGTGAGGTGGATCAAGAGCTGGTTGAAGGGAAGAAGGCAGAGAGTTGTGGTCAATGGGGCAGAATCTAGCTGGAGGTCTGTGACTAGTGGAGTACCTCAGGGGTCGGTGCTGGGACCAGTGCTGTTTAATATTTTTATCAACGACCTGGATGAGGGAACTGAGTGTACCCTCAGCAAGTTTGCTGATGATACTAAACTGGGAGGAATGGCTGACACACCAGAAGGCTGTGCTGGCATTCAGCGAGACCTGGACAGGCTGGAGAGTTGGGCAGGGAGAAACTTGATGAAATTCAAGAAGGGCAAGTGTAGAGTCTTGCATCTGGGGAAGAACAGCCCCATGTACCAGTACAGGTTGGGGGTTGACCTGCTGGAAAGTCGTGAAGGGGAAAGGGACCTGGGGGTCCTGGTGGATAGGAGGATGACCACGAGCCAGCAATGTGCCTTTGTGGCCAAGAAGGCCAATGGCATCCTAGGCTGTATTAGAAAGGGTGTGGTTAGTAGGTCAAGAGAGGTTCTCCTCCCCCTCTATTCTGCCTTGGTGAGGCCGCATCTGGAATACTGTGTCCAGTTCCGGGCCCCTCAGTTCAAGGAGGACAGGGAATTGCTTGAAAGAGTCCATCACAGAGCCACAAAGACGAATAAGGGAGTGGAACATCTCCCTTATGAGGAGAGGCTGAGGGAGCTGGGTCTCTTTAGCTTGGAGAAGAGGAGACTGAGGGGTGACCTCATCAGTGTTTACAAATATGTAAAGGGTGAGTGTCAGGATGATGGAGCTAGGTTTTTTTCAGTGATGTCCAGTGATAGGACAAGGGGCAATGGGTGTAAACTGGAGCATAGGAGGTTCCATGTGAACATCAGGAAAAACTTCTTTACTGTGAGAGTGACAGAGCACTGGAACAGGTTGCTCAGGGGAGTTGTGGAGTCTCCTGCATTGGAGATATTCAAGGCCCACCTGGACAAGTTCCTGTGTGATGTACTCTAGGTTACCCTGCTCTTGCAGGGGGGTTGGATTAGATGTCTTTTGAGGTCCCTTCCAACCCTTGGGATTCTGTGATTCTGTGATTCTGTGACCTTTACAGTGACTAATATAAGGTCCTTCCTAAAGAAAACCTTATTGAAGGTGTATCCAGTTTCTGAGTTGAATTTCCATGGATTGCTGCTTTGAAATACTCAGCTACATTGATTAATCAAAACTTTGCACTGTGGCAGAGGATCTAATTCTGCCAAGTGTTGGTAAATGATTCAGAGTACAGGTGTTACCAGTGAAATGATGAGGAGTTACAAATACCCACATCTGTATATCCTCATTTAACTTGAGTCAGAAGGAAGGTTCATGTTCTCGTGGACTCAGACACGTTACCTGAGCAATTCCTTTACTCAATGAATTATAAGTGGCTGAGCTGTAAATTTTGTTGTCAGTATGCATTAGCAGTGACTGGCTTAAGAGATTCTTCAAAGGGTTTCTCTTTCATGAAAACTGCTGTCTGTGGCTGAATTCTTTGGCTTCAGGGAATTTGCCACCTGTAATGATACTGTACAGTAGGAAACTAAATGTGAGCTGAAATCTGTTCAAATGAAAGAAAACCTTGAAATACGTGGTTAGTTTTCAGCACATGCCTGAATTCTTATTGAAGCTTACAACTTGGTGCATGCCCAAGTGGTTTGCCAAATGTGGGCATAAACTATGGAGGAATTGAATTTCTGTCTCCTCATTTACTTTTGTGTTTGTCAGACATCTTCTAAAAAGAAGATATTATAGAATTGGATAATCAGGCTACTGGTCAAGTGTTCTTTAGACCCTTGTTGGTGCCAAGAATGTACTGGTACCTATTTTTCCCAGTTTTAGTGCTGCTTTCCGAGACTCACATTTACTTGAAAGTAATCCAATCACTTGCTAACAAGTTGGGAAGCCATAAAAAGCATGCAGCTCCTATCACTAAATGTTGAGCTTCATAGTACCTTCTAGCTTTTGGAGACTAGGAATTAAGTGCTCGTCAGAAGAATTAATTTCTGCCTATGAACTTTCTGGAGTGTATACATTTGTGTAATCTCATTTCTCAAACTTGTGTGAGTAAATTATCTGCTAGTGAAAGTGCTCATGTTTCATCAGTACTTGAAAATGCAGTGCTTCAGGGTACACATTTGCACTGTGAAGTGTAAGCTTTATGAAAAGGACTTTGAGCATTCACTTATGTGAATCAGTTTATACAGGTATATTTAAAATGTTGCCAGCTGCAGGTCTTCATGTGAGTCAGATCAAATTTAAATATCAAATACTTTAGTAGAAAAAGGCATACTAGTAGGCACTTATTGCTTATAACCATCTCTTCTTAGAGATTCATATTAAAAATTATGAATCAAGTAAAAATTCTAAGTTTTGCTGGAGTTAGGAAAAGTTAGAATTGCAATATTTATCATTAATAATGCTGTTTATATCCCCTGATGGAATTAAGGCTTGTAACAACTGTCTGAGAATTATTACATCTATTTTCCAGATAGAAAAGCTAAGATATAGAGAAGCCAGTCAATTGGCAAAGTTGCAATCGGAATGCTGCAAACACGAGATCTCCAGGTTTTAATCAGAGAACTTATTATTTGAGGATACTATTATATACTCTTCTTTTCATACAGGCAAAACTGTATTTTTTCTTTGCAATATTAATGTGTCTCTCTTAATCTTATGAACTGCTACCTAACTGTTATCCAGGTTTTAACTGTGAAATGCTAATATGTTCTCCTTTATTTAATTATGAGTTGCAAGGAATATGTCAGTATTGCCTTTTCTTCTATTTCCTAATATAATGTCATCCTCTCAACAATTCTCAGTTTCTTAGATTTTAGGTACCTTTTCCATTATCTTGAATTCTTAAGTAGTTTTGCTGTAAAAATGGAGGTGGGGCAGGAGCAGGACTGTGAGAAGGGACTGTAGAGGATAAGGGAGGTGTTTAATTGCTATTTTTTTCCCATGTTTTTCACATTTGTGGTGTCTATGCTAGAATATGTTTTGAGTCAGCAAATTGGCACAAATAGGCAGAGCAAGCACACTTATACACTTGTAGTATATATCACTTCAGGACATTTCTACAAGTTGCACACTCAGTCTTTCTTCAGTAAACAATTGCATTCGCTACAGAGACTTTCTACAGGCTCTTTCTTGGTCACTGTCTTGCATATGTATCACTGATAGTCCAAAAACTATATCTAGAAATAAGGTGATTAGGTCGTCTTGTATTTTTTTTATTTAATTTCATTTTTACTTCCTCACTGGGATTTTCTTTACACCTGCTGTAAAATAATGCTCCACTAAGTTATCCAATAACACTCCACTAAGATACCCATTAATGCTCCACTGTAAGATAATGTTTTTCCACTAATTGCCCATTAGTCACCTACTTATATGTATGGTCAATGTATATTTATTATTTTCAGACCTTGTGAATGGTTCTTGCATACTAAATTCTTTTTGAACACTAACACCACTGAAGGCAAAACAGTCTGACTCCTCATGCTGGACAATTTTTTGCCTCAGGGAAGCTTCCAGTAGAAGATTAGGATTATATGAGCTGTATTGGCGAACACTAGCACTAGAATGAACCAGAAATCAGGCCAAACTATTAATACTTCTTTGACTGAATAATACATAAGGGATGTTAAAAAGCGTGGCATGTATAATTGTATAAACAGTAACATATATTACTGTGTAAAGTGCTTTATCATGTTCTGTCCCAGCTATTGCATGCTCTTTCCTTTTTCTTTTTTTTTTTTTTTCCCTTTTTTCTCACTTAGGAGCTGCAGACACAGCTAGAGCAACTTAAAAGAAAATCTGAGTGTGAACTAAACCAACTAGAGAAAGAGAAAGAAGTCCTAGCTGGGAAACTTCAAAACTCTTCACTTGAGGTAAACTGAACATAAATGTAACCCAGTAATAAAAAGATTCTTCATTTGTCCTCTCATCTGAGAGATTTTTGGTTAGATTTCAGTCATATCTGCTGTGACTGTCATTCGAGAAAATATGCAGGGACTCTGGATATAAATAACAGGAATTACTGCTCCTGAACATCTATGAAGATTTCAACAAGCCTATTTATTTTGACAAATTTCATATATCACTCTTTGGAGGTGTATTAAGGCTTTTTGTTGAGGAGTTTGGCTGTACCAGGTTTGGATGGTGACTCTGACTGTTCATCTCCGTATAGGGCTGTGTGAGATTAGAATCTTTCTTATAGGCCCTTGTTGACTTTCTTAGAATCATAGAATGGTTAGGGTTGGAAAGGACCTGAAGACCATCAAGTTCCAACCCCCCTGCCATGGGCAGGGACACTTCACACAATACCATCTCACCGAAGGCTTCATCCAACCTGGCCTTGAAAACTGCCAGGGATGGAGCATTCACAACCTCCCTGGGCAACCTATTCCAGTGCCTCACCACCCTCACAGTAAAGAATTTCCTCCTTCTATCCAATCTAAACTTCCCCTGTTTAAGTTTTAACCCGTTACCGCTTGTCCTATCACTACAGTCCCTAATGAAGAGTCCCTCCCCAGCATCCCTATAGGCCCCCTTCAGATACTGGAAGGCTGCTATGAGGTCTCCACGCAGCCTTCTCTTCTCCAGGCTGAGCAGCCCCAACCGTCTTAGCCTGTCTTCATATGGGAGGTACTCCAGTCCCCTGATCATCTTTGTGGCCCTTCTCTGGACTTATACCAACAGCTCCATGTTCTTTTTATGTTGAGGACACCAGAACTGTACACAATACTCTAAGTGAGGTCTCATGATAGCAGAGTAGAATGTTGTTTAGTTCTTTTTGGCAAATGCTGTCTGCTTTAAAGTATTATGTACAGGATAAATCCTATGTGTTCAGGTGGTGTATTCTACTCAAAGGTATCAAAGAAATCAAAACACTGATGATGTGAAGCAATTATTCTTCACATTTTGCAGATGGAAAAAGTAAGGCAGTGAGTCATCCTGTTATTTTTCTTGAAATCACACATTCAAGATGGAAAAATAGGAAAGAAACCTGTGTTTCCTAACTCCTATTCCTCTCACATAATCATGGAAAATGCAAGGAGTGGTGGGAAATTGCTGTCCCTATAAACGCAAATAAATAATATAAAAAGTATATATTATGCCATGTTATGTTCACAACAGCATAGTAAGTATGAACAGATATACTAAGAAATGTTTTGGTGTATCTTAATGTCTAACTGCTCCCCAAAAGCAGGAAATGCTTCCTCTGAAGAGAAATTTTGCATTTTTCTTTGTACTCTAGAAGCTACTTTCTGAGCCAATGACTTGGCTGTACTGCCAGGGAAGGGGAGGGATTTCAACTTTTATAATATTTTACTTTTATAAATTTATGAATACTCACAACCAAGAAACCACCATTTACTGTACAAGATTATGTTTCACTGAGGGCATGCTTCCAGCTGCGAACCTTTTCGATGGCTCAGCCCAGAGCTTCTGCCTCAAAGGTTAAGCAATGTGCTGTTACTAATCCAGTTCTAACCTGGATACAATTTCAGATCTAAAAATAGCTTCCTTGGCTGCATAAGGCACGTGTTTGGTTGGGCTGACATAGCTAGAGCACTATGCAGAGTAGACAGAATCATGATAATTTCATCTCTCTGGAGATGCACTTCAAAGTGGCGGTATTTCTGTATTAATGGGATTTTTCTGAATAAAGAAATCAGATTCACACCTATTTGGTCCTTTGGAAGGAAGAATATAAGAGATCCTGTGTGAGTCAACTGCTAATTCACTACAGTCATCCAGTTCCTTGCTTTTGCACTACAGGATCTCTTCAACATGTGCTAAAAGGGCTATTCTGGAAGTAGAAAGTACATAAATTTGAATCACAGGCATCACCTTCTCAAGATACATCTTTGAACAAGGCTAACACAGCAATGTCCAGAGCCTTGGTGGATACTGGAGGTACCACCAAATAGTAGCAGTAGAGGTGTGCCTACTGTCCCTCTGGTCAGGAATTGCCATAAGTTTAGGAAGACGGTTAACTATGAACTTAACTGGAGCAACTGTGAAATAAGCCTAAAGACAACAGTAAAATATAATTTGAGTATTTTGTTGTTACTTCTCATGCCACATTACCCTTTTGGTGCAATAGCATCATAGTAAGAGTAAAACCTTGTAGTATTTGGGTGCCTTATTTTGACACAACAAGTTCTCAATTATGGTGCCCTGCCCATGGCAGGGGGGTTGGAACTTGATGATCTTAAGGTCCTTTCCAACCCTAACTATTCTATGATTCTATAATACATCAAAAGGCAGTTTAAGTCTTTTATGTAAATTCATCCCCTAGCAATGCATTGAAAAACTGTGCTTGCAAGCACAGTGAATTAAAATAATCAAAACAGAAGTCAAAATGGGGGAACCAACTGTGATGGCATGCACAGCCTTATACTTCCCAGTATTTTCACCCATGGGCTAGCAATGTCTGAGAAGTTACTACTTCAAAAGAATAAAGATATCCTTCCCAATAGAAGGACAGTAAGTATGGTTAAAAAAGAATGAATCTTGAAAGACTTTTGAAATAGTTTAAAACTTATCTGTCATCTTTTAGTAATAGTTGTTCATTTTTTCTTTACTTGAAGACAGTGGGAGGCAAAACCAGCTGTCATTAAGAAAGGGCAAGTGCAAACATAACACTGAAATTTGAAAAGAACACAGCAGAAACTAGAAAAATACTGTTGCCTTAAGTTTGTACTGTGAATAAGCATTAGCTGCATCTTTAAGACCCTTTTATGCAGTTCTGGTGGATAAAAGTCAATGAGTAATAGTATTAGAGGTACAGTTTTTTCAAAAGGTTTTGTTTTGCAGCAGGAGGACACTATAAAACATAAAAGTACACAGTGTTGCTGGTTTGTTAATAGTAAAAGGAGGCAAATAGCTTCTGGACTGCTGTGAGTTGGTGTAGTGTTAATTTATAATATTCATTGGCTTAATTGTTGCTTTACCAGTTTAAATAAATTCAGGCTAGAGCTATCTAATCTGAAGTAATGAAACACAATAAAATGCCTGGGCACTGCTAAGTATTCCAGAAAAGGATTTGCACTGTGGATTTGAAACCCCTTTTAGTTGAAAGACAGGGGAAGAAACCTGATGCATTGGAAATGTCTGTTTTTTAAACTCTAATAATTTAGAAGTGGCAAAGTCCATGAGAGTGTTTCTATGCTTGATATATTTGTGTAGGGTTTTTTTCTCTAAATCACTGAAAAATATATTTAGAAATATTTTCCATCTCATTTCTTACTAAATTATGTTCTCTGTTGCTACCAATTTATGCTTAGCCTATTTCTATTTAGTATGATCTGATGTTTCATGTTAGTATTGCTTTGAACCAATAATTGTCTATGAAGAGTGTCTTGAAATTTAACAATGTTATGACCACAGCTGAAGTTTATACAGACTTCTTTTATCTGTCCTGCCTAAATGAATATTTAATTCACAAAAGAAATAATCCAAGTGACGTTTTTCCTGTTTCCATTTTTTTCTGTTAGAAAATACACAGCCCACTCTTCTGGCACATCTTTTTTACTCACTGGCTTACTTGCAAGAAGCCCAGAAAAAAAATGCAGCTTGAGTATAGTAATGCTAACGCATATTACATCAGATGATACATGGGACTGTACAGTATTAAGTGTTCCACATCAAAGGTTAGTTTTATAAGGAACTGCAGTACCTAAAAACTTTCTTTATATAGAAAAACGTTGGCTTGAGTTTGATAGGTGTTAAGACAAAGTAAATGTTTTTACCTGTACCCAGAAGGCAAAATGCCCCTTTGGTTAGATCGTATGATTTACAACTTATTTTTCAAAGAAAGAATAAAAATTGCAGGAGCTCTGGGAACAAAGCTATCATTAGCAAGCAGCTCTGGCATTTGCCTGGTGTTGGAGTGTATCCAGACTGCAGATAGATCCCATCACACAGAGAAATTAAAGACAAATAATTTTTTTCATCAAGAATAATATTTAGCAATTATTCTTCACTAGGTTTGTCAGGCAGTTTCTTTGTGTTTAATTGGATGACACAATGGAAGAAGCCAGGAAATGACTGGATGATTAGTTAACATAGTTTGGGGCAGCTAAAGCTAGGCCCTTTTTCAAATTTGCTAACTCAAATTGGTTGGATAGCATCAGTGAAATTCAAATGTACCATGTTGGTTTGGAATTGCTTAAGAAGTGGTAAAACTAATCTTTCATTTTCTGACCCAGTAAAAACTTGGTCCACAAAACACTAGGTGAAAGAATGTTTATTTTCTTCTTATCTACCAACCTAACATTCTCAGGATGTGTGGGAGACCTGGGCTTGGTTTGTTTGTTTTTTCCTTCTGTCAGATTTTTCACCATTTAAAGAGTCCCCTTGTCACTGGGCTACAGGATAAAACAGGGTGAGCTCCAGTGTGTCACCTGTTGCCACTTCTTCACTTGTATATTAAGTTATCATTGGACAACCTAGGCTTTCATCAGTTGAATAAATGTCCTGGTTACCTTCATAGGCACACACATGCACTCTTGCTCTCTTGGGTTGTCTGTGCCTCCATGCTTCCTTTCTCTCTCTGTCACACACAAAGCAGAACTGCTGCTGCCATCTCTTCCTCCCCTGTGTGTGAATAAAACCATTTGTCTCCTTGAAAATGATAAAGTAATCTAAGTTTTAAAGACGTCATGTCTAAATTACAAATACTGCTGTAGATCTCAGATGTGAAACATTCGTGATAAAACTGAGGAACTCTGAAGTTCAAGCACAGCACACTAGCCCATTTGATAAAGGAAATCCTTGTTAATTATAATAGTAGTACGGCCCTTTGTGAGCAAACCGTTGGAAGGAGATCAGAGGGAAACTGAAGTACAAGATCAGTGATAACCACCAGCAAGTGACTGGAGAGAAGGAACCTGACTTGTGGATTTGAAGGACAAACTATTTAAAAGGAAAGAACACAGTATACTGACTTACGTATATGAAGAGCAATTCTATATCCATAAACATACTTAAAAATGGAAAAGTAGCTTTCTTGTAGCTTTCTTGCCAGCTGCTTACAGAGGTACAAAAAACAGATTTAGAAAGGAGTTATGTAGTTCTCATTATACCTGTGTGTGTTCAAGTAAGAGGTTTTGAGTAATCTCCACAGCACATGAAGTTCATGAACATTCATGTTTCACACAAATACTGCTTAAGCAGAAACAAATCATCTTCAGCTGATATTCTGTGAACACAAACCTTTTACCAAAATTACGGACAACTAAGATACAGAACAAGTTTTTATGATGTTTTCAGGCGCTTATTTAGTTTCTCTGTAGAAAAAAAACACAATTAAAATAGGATAAATTGATCAAGTAGAAATAATTATTTCTTAGATGTGTCTCCAAGAAAAGGTTCATATTAATTTTTCTTCTTTAATATCAAGATTTATTACTGGGGCATAAAGGCTTGTATGAATTATAGAGAGAAGGGAGCAGATGCCAAGAAATGGTAAAAGTGGAAAGTGGGGCTAGAAGTGAAGACAAGTTGAGGTACAATGTAGTTGAAGGTTGCAGTTATAAAGCAGAAGTAAACAATGCCCTTTGTCTGAAAGGAGTTGGAACTCTGGGAACTGACACAAGCTCTGTGGATCGCAGTATCTGGAGCCTACGGAGCACAGTTCTGCGCTGGGAACCTATGAGAATAGTAGAGGTTTAGAGAGCACATGAATAAAGGCTGTGATCCATCTGGAAATTGAGAAGGGCCTCAGGAGGAGGAAGAGATGCACCCTTTGGAGGAGAGGAGTCGGCATGCCTAACCAGTGTGAGGAAGAGCTACCTGGAGTACATTCAGCCAATATCCAAAAGGATTCCTAGGTTTTGGAGAGATTTGGCATAGCTCATTAATATCTCCCTTTCGACAGCGCAATGCTAGCTGTGGCCATGAAGTTAATGAGAATTAAGGGCTTTGCACATCGTGCCTCCTTTTCTTTTACATCATGCAAAATATGGTGCTATGAAAATGAAATGTGAAAGGATATAGACAACCTACTTAGTAAATCTTCAGCTTTTGTGGTGCTGCATCAAAAAGGTATATGTATGCAGCTGAAGTTACAAGCAAGTATTTAGATAGCTAAAGCTGCAGTGCTTCCTCAGCTAACAGTGTGTACAGCACGCATGGAAAAAAAATATTAGGGCAACACTGAACAGAAAAAGAACACGTATTAGTGTAGAGGTAAGAATAGGATGTAGTCACAGGTCATAATCTATATCATATTCAATTTGCAGATGTGTGTAACATCATTTGAATCACTTAAAGTCACATGAAATTAAGGATACAAACTTCTTCCTTTCATAGTTCCTCAAATTTACATCATTTCTCTCCATTGTGAATGCATCCATTGATCCTGTCTTACTTTTTCTGTAAGGTGGCTCAGCTGAAGCAGATATTAGATCAGCAAGCAAGTAATTTCAAGGAGTCACTGAAGAAACATAGTCTACAGTTCAACAAGGAAAAAGAGAAGCTTTTGCAGGATCTTCAAAACATCATTAAAGAAAACCAGAATGCTAAACTGCAGCTGGAGGCATCACATCAGAAAGTCTTAAAAATGTTGGAGAAAAGCAAAAATCAGGAACTCAAGGTCAGTTTGCGACATACTAGTGTAAACAAAATCTTGCTTGTGGGCTAAACCATATTATTTACAGCCAATTATCGAAACTAATTTATCTCCAGCTTTTTTACTAAAGGGTTGCAGTTGTTGCACACAGTGAATAATTCTGTGATTTTGAAACCTTATCCTCTTCAGGTGTTTTGGTTTTTTTTTAATTTTAACATTTGAACTTAGATCACAGTGTGAATGAAAGGATTTCATAAAATAATATAGCCTAATCTCTCTAGTTAGGCTGCAGTTAATACAAACTCCTGTAGCTGTGCTCTTGCTTCAGAAATAAGAGAGAAATCCTAAGTGTATTATTAACAGGACTCAGTTTTATTGTTTTTCATCCATTATTAATGGATATGTCTAACGATGTGTCTTGACTTACCTACCTTCAAGAAACAATTCTGTAAGTGGATAAGCAACACTTTTAAAGGTTCGGTTGGATTTATTTCAGTGACAAAATGTTAATGCAATATATTAAGATTCTAAACAATGTTGCAGGTTGAGGGGAGAAAAAGACAACTTTAAAAATGTTAGTGCGATTGTGACATAGAGTTCAGATATTCCTGTTGATATTGCACACCTTAGGAAAAGCCTTCGTATAAAGCATGCATAGTAAAACCACCTTAAGTAGAATTTATATATTTATATATTCAGGCTTAAATCCCAACTTAACAAAAGCAAGCTGAAGGCAGTAAGTGGGTAAAAATGAAACTGAGGATAGGAGTTTGCTCTCATAGCCACTACCAAGCAAATGTTCCATCATTTACAGTGTATCAGCAGCACTTCTATCAGCAGAGTAAGTTCTAGGCAAGAATGATACAAGGAAGGACAGAAGCTTTTGCCTGACACTCTGTGATAATGACATACAGGTCAAATTTAGGAGGCTTTGTATGTTGAATAATCAAACATCTTTCTAATGTCAAATAGTGCAAAGATAAACAGCTAATAGATAGTATGTGGATAATTTCTCTTGTACCTATTAAGTATAATTTTTAAACTTCAGCTCATTTTTATTCTTGTGTTGAAGAAGTGTCATGTAAAGTGGTGAAAAAAATAAAAGTTTTACAATGAAAGATTCATCCTGGCAATACAAGTAAAACAAAATGATAAATAGGCTCCAAATATTTTGTTTTGGGGATGCTTTTGCTTACAGGAGGCGGAAGAACGTTTGAAAAAGGAATTTAATGAGACTTTCAAGAGCCAACATCAGTCTCATAGACTGGAAATACAAACCTTGGAAGAGAAGGCAAAGAAAGAATTACATGATGAACTCGAGCAGATACAGAAGGAGCAAACTGTGTTGCTAGGTATAATGTCTCATGTCATGCACAGCTTACTGATTGATTATATGCTGAGAAGCACTGTCTTTTCTCCCATTCATTTTCTTTCCCATCTTCGAGGAACTCAGGTGTTTGTGATTCTCCTTTTTCATACCCTACAATTTCAGCAATACAGAATTAATAGTCTTTGTTAAACTGTCTCTCAACTGTCAGCAACAGGATGTTGCTAGGAGAGAAGTCTGGTGTGCAACATTTCAAGTATGCACTATCAGGTATATTAAATTGGAATACTGCAGTTAGAGGATATGATTTTACCCTTTTTTCTATGACATGAAGATTTATTTTATATGATTCAAGTCTGTTCTGTTGAATTCAGCAATGGATATTAGCTGCTCCGTACATATTGTTCAGTCAGCATAGAAAGTTCCCTAAACTGTACAGAATTAATCAGAACACTCCACTAGAAGTACCTATAATATCTCCAGGTTTAAGCTCAGGTTATTAAAGCTCACGTATAAAAGGGGGGTTTAAATAAAGACAGAATAATTTGAAAGAACTTTAATTTTTTAACATTTATTTTAAATTAAATTTTAAATTTATTTAATTTAACTTTTAAAAACTGATTATCTTATTATTTGGAGCTTCATTGCCAGTAATTCAAATTTGCTAGAAAGATGTGTTGCTCTCTGAAGTTTATATGTTCAATAGATAAATTCTTCAAGAAAAATTATAAGGAGACAATATAGAGAGACAACTTGTACTGGATATACACAAAGGTTGTAGTATATGACAGATCTGCTTACATAAGTATTGTACTTCTTTAACACAACCAGAGCTCTCCTTATTCTGTCTTCTGGCCTTCTCTAAAGCACCAGTGGACTTAACAGGGAAACCCAAGGGTGCTCCAGTAAAATTCAAGGTCAGAAGAAGCCAGTTATAATGATGTAGTCTGTAAAACAACTACCACAGTATCACCTCTGATTCTGATGTTGAATCATTGCTGTGGTAGCTCCATATCATCTTACTATAGCTTACCTGAGTGACTTCTCTAGTAATAGAAGGCCATCATACTTAATGGTGAAGGAGTTGAGGAACAAAGCAAAATGTAATGCATTAATGTTTCCATCTACATTGTCTGTATCTACCTTCCCCATCCAGCTGGCCTCTGACTGCCTGAATGATTGTTGTCTGATCGTTACTAGGATCTCTAAGGATGGAACTCTCTGAGCAACAGACATCGTGCACTAGCCTCAGAAAACAAATAGAAGAACTCCAAATGGAACTGAGGAGTGTGAGGACAGTGAAGAAGCAACAGGCAAGAATTCAGTTCCTACTTCATTGCCATGTTGTGTTTTGCAAAAGCAGTAGTATCAAATTTCTCTCTTCAGAGATAATAAAAGTGTACAGAGTCTTTTACAGAAATTGAATGGTTTTCCTTCTTTATGTCCCACTTCAAAATTGTTTACCAGCTTTTCCCTATGGCCAGGCTTTTTTCCAACTTAAAGATCAGAATCTACAACACAAGTAAATGTTACATATAATGTTACAGTAAAATTTTATATTTAGTAAAATATGTTCAAGAAGTTTTGATCACATATTTTGTCTTGTACATAGAATTGAAAACTCACTTCACAAAAATTCAGTGCACACAACTCCAGTGAGACCATCATGTTAAATAATGAGAGGCTGTGAATAACTAAATTTGGCCTTTTTCTTAGGAAGGAAGTAGCCAGAGCCAGATCAGATCTCTCCATGACGAACTGGAAAAATGTCAGAGTGAAATTTCTGAACTCAAGAAAGAGAATTTACTTTTGAAGGACACAATGGAGCTACTCAGTCCTGAGTTGAAGTCCCAAAAGGAAGAAGCTGCACATCTCCAGGATAGTGAGAAACAGCACAGGTTTGCCTTAAACTCACACTTCACAGTGCTATCTAGATATATATGATGCCAGTAATGATGCTAATAATGATGCCAGTGTCAGAGGTGTTCTAAATGTGATGAGTGTCAGACTCCTTTCTAAAGTGCTAATTATAGAGGTTAGGAATTTTGTAAAAGCAGTAATTCATTTCACACTTCTCTCCAGCCATAATAAAAGCATTGGAACTAATTGTTCATTATGTATCACAGAGAAATACATCCAGTGTAGCCCACAAGTGTGACCTGGGAAAATCTGTGTAACATCAGCCATTGAAAGGCACTGGAAGACATAAACAAATCCCAAATTCACCCAAGAGCTACTAAAAAAATATGACAGTCTCTGAGAATCAAGGTCTATTTTTTATATATACTCTCTGTAGCTGAAACCAATGGGTAATTAACTCTAGAGGGGACACTTGAGAATGCCATCTGTAGTCTGTAAGACTTAGCTTTGGGGGAGTAAGGGCAGAGATGACAGACTGACAGTGCCTCTGGACTTGTGAAAACCTGAAGCTATAATATGCTGTCAGGGCACAGGGAGGGGAAGTTGATTTGCAGTCTTTCCTGTCTTGTAGAATGTGAAGTGAATCACAGTATGCTAGAGATTGGAAGGGACCTCAAAAGATCATCTAGTCCAATCCCCCTGCAGGAGCAGGAACACCTAGATAAGGTTACACAGGAACATGTCCAGGCGGGTTTTGAATGTCTCCAGAGAAGGAGATTCCACAACCTCCCTGGGCAGCCTGTTCCAGTGTTCTGTCACCCTCACTGAGAAGTTTCTTCTCAAGTTTAAGTGGAACCTCTTGTGTTCCAGTTTGTACCCATCCTCCTAATGTAGCCACAGGCTCAGAGCATGTGTTGCATAGTGCAGTAATAGCAGTCTTCCCTACTTAAAAAGTGCAGGACTTACCTTTTACATGGGGGACAAGTCTGGGTTCATTGTCCAGTGCATTTGTATGGCTGCTGGATGCTTTGGAATTTCTTTATTATCACACTTAACACATTCTCTTTGCAGATAGATTAAGGGATCTGGTAAATGGCTATCTTTTAATTCATTTCTGCAGTGGTGTAGAATGTATGCCACTAGCTACTCAAGCTGTATATGTAAAAGTATTTCTGAAGAGTATACCCTTAAAGGAATCTTTAAAATGATGTCCTGTATAGTTGAAAGAAAAGCACTCAAGGGATTGAGTGTCTCTTGGCAGACTGTCAGAGTGGTCAGAGTAATTCTATTGCTGTCTACCAGTCAGCAGATATTTAAAGAATGAGAAAGACATGAGAAGGAATTTTTTTTTCCTTTGCGCTCTTTGGAGAGTTACTTGAAAGTGATTTTCATTTCAAGCTTTTGAAGCAAGATCAACAGAAAGGATTGCAAACCAGAGAGTTTCATCAGTGCCCTCCAGCTACCTTAAAGGAATTTAGAGCTTCTGTTCATGAAGAGAAGAATTATTCACATGTCAGCGATGAGGTCTAAAAGGCCTCAAATGCTAAAGCTGCTGGGCTGGAGGATAATCTTAACAGGGGATAAATGGTGTAGCTGTACTACAGTAAGCATTTGAGAAGAAAGCATTAATGGAAATTATATAAGTTGAAATCCTTCAAATAACAGGAGGCAGAACCCGAGAGCTCAAATGGGCCTAGGCATCTGATGCAGGCTAAAATTAACCCATGGAAAACCTGCAGTATTAACTTGCAGCTCTTGTTTTGCTTTTGCAGGACCAATAATTTTTGTAGGGGAATAGTTAAATTTGTGAGTGCAGATAAATTACAGCCTTTTTACTGTTACTTAACCAACAGTGACCTTGTCTCATGCTAATTGTTTCTGACCTGAAAGCTGAGAGTGGCTTGTTATTTACATGTGCCAAATTTTTAGAACCAGTTATTTAAAATTACTATTCCTACAGTTCCTGAGTAAGTGAAACCAGTAATCTCATGAAGTAGTCCTTCCCATTTCCATTCTCTTGAACTGTGACTTTTTCCAGTACAGAAACCTTTTACAAGAATTAGTATGTAAGCAGACAAAAGGGTTTTTTATGGGAAAAGAGGGCAAGTCCCAGAACGGCTAGTCTGAAGCAGAGCTTTTATTCTGCTCCTGAAGATGTATTTCAAGGATTCTGCTCCCATTTATTCTTACTCTTCTGTTTTGTTTTTTTTTTTTTTGTGCCAAGTGTTAAATCAATCACTTTGATGGCTGTGCCCTAATTCCAAAAGCAGACACAGTTCATGGGCCTTTTGGCCTTTCCTGAAGCATGAAAGGGGCTTAGAAATACATGAAAAACTAAAAAGGTAAACTGAATATCTGTTCTGAAAAATACAGTAGTTAACCTGCTGAGTCTGACATCTCTGTTTTAATCAGTAACAGAACATGGGCTTTTCATTGAGACAATGAAAAAGTTTCTCCAAGGTTTAACAAAACATTAACAAACAAAAGGCAGCAAGTCAAAAATAACCTTTCAATATTGATTTTAGGGTCAGTAGGAAAAAGCAATGTTATAGCTAGGTTTAAAAAAATGTGAGGCATTTTTTAATTTTCAGTTGATGGTGTTAAATAAGCAGTATCTTTCAAAATATATTGTTAGAACATTTCTTACCTTCACTTTAAAAATATATAATATTTTTAGGACGGTGGTAGGCAGTATTAAATGTTTCTGGTGCCGCAATGTGATGAAACACAGCATCAGAGTTTCAGGTTAAAATCCCAGAGGTTTCAAAATAATTTTGCTTAATACAAGTGAGTTCCTATAGTACTTCACTGTCATGTTTGACCATTAAGACTGGTGTACGAATGAACCATAGAGAGAATATCAATAGCATCATTGTATAGAATAGACCCTCAATTTCTTGAAGGCTGAAAGTCAAATACTTCTCCAAATAAATTTCCGCTTCCTCAGTGTTAGTGTGGTCCTGCTTCAGATTGCAGCAGAATTGTCAAGGTCAAATCAGTAAGCTGAAGCCCAGAGCTGCACCCAGCTAACTACCCTCTGTAGTCAATAAAAGACCTCAAAACTGCATGCTTTGATCAATGATAATAAAATGGTATTGAAATGTGAGAATTCAGACATATTTTAATACCAATAAAAGGCTACTCGTAGAAGACTTCAATGTCAAGCATAAAAAAGAACTGGACATACTGAAACAAGATCACTGGAAGGAAATTGAAAGCATATTATCTGATTTCAACAGCGCTCAGGCACATCTCCAAGCAAAGATTTTCTCCTTAGAAACTGAGTAAGTCATTTAAATAAACTCTGGCTCATACTGGTAAAGAGTTCTGTTTGAAATTATACTCAGAATGTACATTTTTGTTATTACTCATAGGTAGAATATTATAAGCAATGAAATAGAACTGTATACATATTTCCTTTGTGAGCACAAAAAGACCCAAATATATTGTGATAAACTCTGGATATTGTTTAATATAAAGCAGTATACATAAAGTTTTACAGTGCTAAATTAAAACCTGCACTTAGCATCTTGCAATTTCATGAAGTATTAAATCATCTTTGTCACAGATGATACCAGAGGCCTTTGTGCTTAATTTTATTCATCAGAGCAGCATCCTTGTTGTTAAGCTCTTGCTCATTCTTATTCTTCTGCAAATTTCCCAGGACAGCCCCCAAAAGCTCATGTAAATAAATGCACTTTGCAACCCCCTGTGAAGTTAAGTAGTCCTGTGGTGCTTCAGACTGTACTGGAGAGGCCACTCAGAAATGATCCCTGTTATTATAATACATATGTTAATTATATATCTATCCCTTGTCCTTTTCTCTTATCACAACTATACAATGTAAGTCCAGAAGAGAGACCTGTGCATTTAAGCAGGTTGCAAAACATTTAGAGGTGATTTATCTTTTTATCTGAACTCTGAGATACACTAACTAGAGAATGTAAGACACTAAAAGACATCTCAAGAATGTTCATCTTAAAAAAAAACCCCACTAAATGGTTGTTTGTATTTTGCAATACACTACAGTACGGCAGGTGAATTTCACGAACTTGGCTGATGAAATAGTAACTTGTTTTCCCATGGGTCCATCAAATGTGTTTCTACGCTATGTCTAAGAAGTTGTAAGTTCTAGATTGATTCTTTTCCCCTGATGAAGGCATTTAGAGAATTGAACTCACTACAGGTTTTGGCTTAGAGAGTTCATTAATGCAGCATGTATATCTAAGCTTCTCTTTTAGTGAAGTTATAGGAATTGAGTATGAAGCCTTTATCAAATATAGTTGAAATTAGCCTGTGGATTCTAAAGTTAGTGGGTCAGAAAAGAGGACAGATGAATACAGACATGCATAGATACTGCTGCACAGATTTGTTTCTTTAGGAAACTAGACCAGCAATGGGATGTGCAAGCTTGTTAGTATTTTATACCAGGGTCTGGACTTCAAACCCTCACAGGTGTTGTGGGTTAATTCTGGTGGCAGTTTATTTTGGAGCTCCACAACATTCTATACTTAAATATAATCCATGTACAGGTACCCATTTTTTTAGCAGTGCTGTTTTATTAGAAAGGCCTAACTGTGTCCCTGTGTTTTAGGCTTGAAATTTTGAGCAGAGTACAGCCTGAGTATCTCTTGAACCTGGTCTGAGGAAGTTTTTTCTGGCCTGCATTTTCTTTGGTACAGACTTAAAGAATTAGAAGAAAAGTCAAGAAAGTGGGAGTCCAGATCAGAAGGTGCACACCTTATAAGCTGTCTGCAAGACAAATTAAGTGAGAAAGAAGAGATTATCAAGCAGTTGGCAGTAAGAATTCGTTTTATGTGTACATACATATTTTGCAATCTGTTGGAAGGTTCTGTTCAGTGTTTCACACATTGCTTCAGACTCATACTTTCTCTTCTGAATACTTTGACAAATACATGTTTCCATACCAACTTCCAACAAAAGGATGTTTCCATACGTATAACTTTCTCTCCTCTCAGGAAGGAAGAAAATGTCAGCATTCACATTTAGCCAACAATGAATCTTACAGGAATCGATCATTTTCTTTCAACCCTAATAGAGGATGCTCAACTCCCTCCATGAAGGTAAGATGGGCAATGCAATTAAAACTTCAATCATGATGTTTTATTCTTACACAAATCCTACAGATAATCAGGATAATAAAGGTCCTATGAATTTTTTTATAGTACTGTTATTCAGTAGAATTCCAGTAAGCCAGCCTACAGTCAGTTTCTGAGTATAACATAAATTCAGGAGGAGTATATATGCACAAAGTGTTTAAGCAAATATAAAATACTAGAACTCCAAAGGCCATCAGTCTTCTGCTGGGATAAGCACAGCCATTGCTCGCACCTTTGGGAGTTGCTATTTTGGATATTGCATGCATCAAGGAAAATTATTAATTGTGTTTTGGCTGCCCAGGTTTTGCCCTTTGTCATTCCAGTCCTTCTGTATTATACCATCTATAAATAGTCATGGAAAGAAGGTAGGTCAAGTTGGTGGAAAGCACCTAACTGAGCTCTGCAAAGCTATCTAAATCATCAAGTACACAAGTTTTCATTAGACTACTTAATCTGTGGACCCTCACAGCATGCCCTGAGAATTTATTTTAAATGCCTTCAGAAAAAGATGGGAATATTCATTTTTGGGTGCTCCTCTCAAGAAATCTGGGAATGAGGTATTGTTGAGGTTTTATAGTATAAAGTGTAAAAAGACATGTGTGTAATGAAGCTTTCTGTCACAATACAAAACAGAAGAAGAAAACTATTGAGGCGCCCAGTCGTGTTGTCAGTGTGCCGAATTTAGCTTCCTACGCAAAGAGCTTTTTGAGCTGTGACTTGAGATCAAAAAGAAGTGCTCCTCAAATAACAAAATCTACAAGCTTAGACCGGAGTTCTGGCTGCCTCAGGGTGGGCTTTCCATCAGCACAGTCCTCAGACACCACAAGGTATTTATCCGTTTTGCAGTGACTTGTAAGATGACGAATATCATGCACTCAGAATCTTATAGGCAATTCAAACACATTAGACATTTGGAAATAATGATCTAAGGTTCCCATCATGCAGTGACCTCCATGTGTTCAGTTCTCTGCAGACAGACCCAGAACTTCACTGCAGACGTAGGTTATAATCACTGCCCAGTAAAGCTTATGCTTGCAACCGCTTCTAGTACAGAAAAAGAGAAGAGCTGCATGTATTTAACCAAGAATGTAGCTAATAGTGAGCATGGCTGTTTAAAATTTTCAGGCACGTATCAGTGGTTCTGTTAAGGATGTGTTTTCCTTCTTACTTTTGTTTCCTTGCTTTTACACTTGGCAGATGTAGATGGCATATTTTTATTTGAGGAGATATTTAAATGAATCTAGGCTAATAATTTGGCAAAGGGTTTAGAGATTTAAAAATGTATTAGCAGATACTTAACTAAAAGCTTCTTAGTTTGATAGGTTTTCTCTGAAAAGCTTGAATTTTTCTTCAAATTTATGAGATATTATTTAAACAATGTTCAGTGGTTTATAAACATAACTGAACTATCTCTTCAAGAAATAGTTAAAAATATATGTGGTTAGCACTACAGGAAACCCTATTGCTACACTTCAGGACAAAGCCAGCTTTCCTACCTCTCTCTTAGCTGAGGTAGTTATTCTGTAAATTGTGTGCTAGAGAGCCCTTTCCTTGAAGGCAGATGGTGCTGACTGCTGCCAAAGACAATAACCCGGGACATGGGCTTGGATCCAGTTTGGCAATTCCTACATCTTAATGATAAAAGCATTCTGTGTAATGTCAGATGACTGCCAAGGCAAGTCAGATTTGTATATTAAAGGGAAGCATACAGGGAAGTTACTTCCTTACTCTAAATGAATCCATCATAAGTCATATTTGTTACTATAAGCTGAGCAAAATTAATATAAATGTTAAAAAAGAATCCTGAATGCTGAAAAATGAGAGACTATGGAATAGGATTATCAAGGCCAACTAATATTCAATCTTTCAGTTACAAATAAAACTTCTGCCCAATATTTTTAATGCAGAAATTGTATTTCGTATTTCTGAGAGTGAATTGCAGCTGCCAGCTTCTGAATTTCAAAACTTCCTATTTTTAAAGCATCCTTTTTTTATTTTTTTGAGCTATGAAGAATTATGTTCAAACATTTCTCCATGGCTGTTCAGCTCAGCTGCACGTTTTCCTTTGTATTACTACCAGTGATGTTAGCCCAGTTACTTGGCTAGGAGAGATCCCACTAGAAATTGTATCTGGCACCTTTTGGCTTCATTCGATTCATGTGAGCGCAGGTCCATTCATAGCATCCTGAGTTTTTCCAGGAAAAATATATTGGATATTGGTAAGACTGTAAGTAAGTGATGCTAATGCTTATTTGTTTGCACAGGGCACACGGCAGTGAGCTACCACAAACCAAAGATGACCAAAAACAAGACCCTCAGCATCAAGAATGGTTTACTAAATATTTTTCCTTTTAAAGCATACTCCTCAGAATTACTAGAAAAGCTGTTCCTGTTTTCTTTCATGGAATGATGATCCAATACATGGTTTAGGAAAAACAGAAAAGTAATTTCCAAATAAATAATTAGGAACAACTGCACTCTTACAGCTAATTGCTATGGAGGTATAGGCATGGATTTCAGAAAAGTGTGGTTTTGTAACAACCATTGTGAAAAAAGAAGCAATAGGGAAATTGTGGATACTGTTACATGGATAGACTTTTTAACCAGGAGACTATACCACTCCACTGCTAGATTCAGTATGCAGTTTGGTCGCTGATACATCCTGTCAATATCACTCCAGCTGAAAAAAGATCTTACTTCTCTAAGGGATTTCTGTAGATTTATACGTTTGCTTCATCAGCTGTTTAAAATAATTTCTGTATATAATAATGTTATTTTCCAAGTTTTTAATAGGTTTTTGTTACTCTTATTTTAAGCTGTACAGCATGGGATATGCCTCCAAGAATAGCATGTTTATAGCAGGCTATAATATATTATTATAAAAATACTTTCAAGTTTGTTTAATACACTCTTTTGTATAGTCAGCATTGCAAAATAATGTTCCTGTTGCACTTCAATACTTGTATCAGCCTGACAAATTAGGATAATATGTAAGTATGAACATTAAAACTTGTTTGTACATCATCAATTTCTGCTTTGCAAGAGTGCTATGTTATGCTGAAACGTGAGACAGAAACACTCGAGTTCCAGATTTATGGGCACTGTATACTTGTACATTTTACCTCAGTACTGTTCTTATGTCCATGTAAATGAAGAGCAGGTGAATGAGTACATTTATCAGGTCATCCAGCTAACTCATTACCAGGATGGAAGAAGAAATGAAGATATGAAACCTCATGAAGTTTAACCATGCCAAGTGCAAGGTCCTACACCTGGGTCGGAGCAATCCCAGACACAGCTACAGGCTGGGCAGAGAAGAGATTCGGAGCAGCCCTGTGGAGAAGGACTTGGGGGTGCTGGTCGATGAGAAAATGAACATGAGCCGGCTTCAGTGTGCGCTCGCAGCCCGGAAAGCCAACCGTATCCTGGGCTGCATCAAAAGGAGCGTGACCAGCAGATCAAAGGAGCTGATCCTGCCCCTTGACTCTGCTCTTGTGAGACCTCACTTGGAGTATTGTGTGCAGTTCTGGTGTCTTCAACATAAAAAAGGACATGAATCTGTTGGAACAAGTCCAGAGGAGGGCCACGAGAATGATCAGGGGACTGGAGCACCTCCCATATGAAGATCGGCTGAGAAAGTTGGGGCTGTTCAGCCTGGAGAAGAGAAGGCTGTGTGGAGACCTCATAGCAGCCTTCCAATATCTGAAGGGGGCATATAGGGGTGCTGGGGAGGGACTCTTCATTAGGGACTGTAGTGATAGGACAAGGGATAATGGGTTAAAACTTAAACAGGGGAAGTTTAGGTTGGATATAAGGAAGAAATTATTTCCTGGTAGGGTGGTGAGGCACTGGAATGTGTTGCCCAGGGAGGCTGTGAATGCTCCATCCCTGGCAGTGTTCAAGACCAGGCTGGATGAGGTCTTGGGTGATATGGTTTAGTGGGAGGTGTCCCTGTCCATGGCAGGGGGGTTGGAACTTGAGGATCTTAAGGTCCTTTGCAACCCTAACTATTCTATGATTCTATATAAACCCTCTGGCAGGGGACTGTGCACCCAGCAGCCTAGTGTTTATGACAGGGCTGTTCGTCCTCAACAGCTGTATAATTTGAATCCCCATTTCATTTCAGCCAGCAGGGCCCAGCTATGTAGTGATAAGACAAGGGGAAATGGGTTTAAACTAAAACAGGGGAAGTTTAGATTGGATATAAGGAAGAAGTTCTTTACTGTGAGGGTGGTGAGGCACTGGAATGGGTTGCCCAGGAAGGCTGTGAATGCTCCATCCCTGGCAGTTTTCAAGGCCAGGTTGGACAGAGCCTTGGGTGACATGGTCTAGTGTGAGGTGTCCCTGCCCATGGCAGACGGGTTGGAACTGGATGATCTTAAGGTCCTTTTCAATCCAAATCATTCTATGTGTAACAAATTTCACATGTGCAAAGAGGGACACCTCCAGCCTAACCTTCTTACATCAAACAGCCAGATGTAAGCACTTAGTACAAAACAGCCACTGCACCTCAGTGGTGGTGAAAAGGTGCCAGAAGGGCAGAATGCTTATACAGACCAATGCTTCCATCCTAGTATCTAGGATTTTTTCCAAGATGAACTGCTTGGTTTGGAAGGAAACTTTGGAATCAGACTTTTCAAAAAGACACTTTTTATACGTCATCAAGAAGGGGATAGACAGGTATACGGTAACATGCAGGAGTACCTGGGTGTTTCCGAGGATCAGAAAAGCATAGGGCTAAGTTTTTTGGTTAGAATTTTCATCCACTCTGCCCCAAATACTTCAAATGCAAACTGGAAAGCTCAGTGCACAATTACTAACTTAATTTCCAGCGTTACAATAGTTACCTGTTCCCACCAAAAAAGTGACCTTAGAAAGTGGCTTTTCTGGCTACGTAGAGGAATGAAGCTCGCTGGCTAGTAATAGTGTCAGAACTCTTTTGCTATTTGTATCTCCAAAAATGTGGTTTGGGCTACATTTAGATAATTAAATAGTGCATCACAGTAACTGCCAATTCTGTAGACTGGACAGCACTGATAACCCAACAACCACAATGAGTGACCTTTATTTTGGGGGCATTTTGGACCATCCCTACACCAGCCTGACAAGACAAACACCAGTAACACTGGGCCTGCATTACATACTCCCCCAGGGTGCATTTTGCAGTTCCATTTCATACTGTAAGACCCAAACTTGGTATATCCCAAGACCCCTTCATGAGTTGAGCAAAAGTCCAGCAGAGATGGACAATCCACTTCAAAAGGTACACTCTTAATCTGACCTAGATAAAGACAATCCTAAGGGTGCTTCTACAGTAGTACTTAGAGATAATCACTGCATCACTAAACATTAAAATCTTCCAGCTGAACCAAACAGTAATCTGGTAAAGTCTTTTCAGCACACCAGCAAAGACGCAGTTAGGGGCCACCCTTGCTAGAAGGAACAGGATGCATTCTGGAAAAACATACTTCTGCCAGAAAGCGTCCAGAATAGCAGCTCTGCCTATTTTCCTTTGAAACAGAAAACCAATGCATACGTTTTTTGGGGAAAAAAAAAAGGTAATTTATTTCACTTAACTGTCTTTTTATATTTTTAGTACAAATTCCATTATACAAAAAGCATACAAAGTAAGAACACCACCAGTGCTTTGCACTGTTGAAAATAGATATGTAAGATTATGTTTGCTTCATTGGAGCAGGAATGTTGGCAGATGCTTGTTCTAGGTAAGCTAATGGACCTTGAGGCATTTCTGCAGGCTTTTTGTGCTGTACACTAATATCTTCCAGGACCTGCTGCCAGTGTCGCAGTTTACCCAAATGCTTCTGAATTAATGCTTCTTTCCTCTGCAATTCATTTCTTAATTCTGAAACATCCTAGGAATAAAAAAATGCATGTTAGTAAACAGATGGTCTTCAGAAGAAAAACCACCTCACATAAAGAACATGTAATTTTTTTTGTTTGAGTTTTCAAGCTGATCTTACAGGGATTCTAACAATGAGAAGTGTCTACTGAAACAGAGGGAAAGTGCTGTTCATGCACTAGTTCTGTTCCCCTTGGTCATATGTTTCAGAGATCATTACTCCCAACAAAATTTAACTAACTGGTTTGTTTCTTCCCATGAAACTGTCATCTGTGTTCCAACACCCCACAGTGCAGCAGGCTTCTAGCTTCTCCAGGTTCATGGTGAGAGAGCCATGTTAATGGTCTAGTTCTGCCAACTTAAGATACAGCATCACATTGAGAAACCTAAAATTCAGCTGAACAAGGTGACTCACTGTACTGGTGCACAGCTTACCTGATCTAGCACAACACAGGTAATCAATTTAAACATACCTCTTTAATGACTTGCTCTGGTTTCTGGACTGATAGCTGCAGTCTTTTTTGTAGGAAGAAGCATTCAGTTTGTCTTGCAACATCCAGAAATTTCTGAATGCACTGATCAACACCTAAAATAAAGGAACAAAATAAAGCAGATTCCAAAAAAACAACTATTAAACTCACTTTTCATCGTATTTTCTAGAAAGAAAATCTGAAGATTTACTAAAATGACATATTTCTAAACCCAGGATGTGCATTAAATCTCTGTATGAAACACTGCTTTGCAAGCACTCAGAACTTCTCTCAAAAAAGACAGCAACTTTTTCCAAGTTTTAGTACATTTTTGACAATGACAAAGAGTGATAAAATAATCTGTGAAACTTGGCTGAATAAAGAAACCATTTCAGGCTCAATGAAAGGGTCTCCAATATGGCCCAGCTTGAAGCCATTTCTACTTGTTCTGTGCCTTGTTACTTGAGACCAACATCCACCTCACTCCTTTTAGGTAGTTGTGTAGAAAGAGAAAAGGTCCCCCCTGCGGCTCCTTGTCTCCAGAAAACCCCCCGGTCCTTCAGCCACTCCTCATCACACTTGTGCTCCAGATCCTTCACCAGCTTTGTTGCCCTTCCCTGGCCCTGCCCCAGCACCTCAGTGTCTGTCTTGTCATGAGGGGCCCAGAACTGAACACAGGATTCCAGGTGTGAGCAACCCAAAATTATGTCAGTCACCGTTCAAGAACCAAAAAGTAACAACTGAGTTTTTAAACCTCTTTCGGCCTCAAACGACAAGGCACACACACTCGCGGCAAAGCCCAAATGCACCTGCAAAGCTTCATAAGAAGCTTTAGGAGGAGCCAGCCCCAGCCTTGCCCCTAGGTATTCTAACCCTGCACAACAAAACCGTGGCGTATCCAGGGCTCCCGAGCAGCCAAGCGCAGCACCTCGGCACCGCCCGAAAGCCTCCGAGGGCTAAGGCCGGCCCGGCCGCTGGACACCCACAGCCCCGGGGCCTCACCGGTGCGGATCTCCTCCTGGTCCGTGCCGTTCACGTAGTCCTGGCTCACCAGCGAGGCGAAGCAGGCCTGAGAACGGCGGAAACGCGGATGTAAGTAGGAGAGTAGCGCCCACCCGCGACCAACCCCAGCCCGGCCCGGCCCGGCCCACACACCTCGAAGGACGCTTCCAGCTCGTCCACCAGCGTGTTGTTGGGATTGCGCGGCCCCGTGGGAGGCGGGATGAGGCCTGCCGGGCCGGGCCCGCCAGGAGGTCCCGGCGGTGGCGGCGGCCCCGGAGGCTGGTTACTGAACATGCCGCTCAGCGATCCAGCCATGGCTCGGCTCAGCGCAGCCGCGCCTGCGCAGAGGGGCGGCAGCCACGGGCGGGTCCCGTCCCGCCCCGCCCCGCCCCGCCCCGCTTCAGCGCCGAGAGCCGGTACCTCAGCGCGGAGCGCGTTACACGGCAAGAAGCAGCAGGGAAAGCACAGCCGTGCTTCGCAGCTGGACACTGCTTCCCCAGCCTCTGCCAGACCCCGGCCCGGTCAGCACCTATTGCACACCAGCGTTTCAGAACAAATACCACGAAATTCTCAAGAACACATCACCTCATGCAGTAATTGCTAAGTGTTCGATGTTTGAACTGATTCTGGGAATACCATTCCTGCTTGGAGACTCCCAGGCTCACACCAATAGAAGGAAAGCAGCAGAATGACAGAAATCATGCAAACACTAACCTGCACTCATTAGCTTTTGTAAAACAGTTACAATATATGCTTGTGTTGGCACTTGCTTGAGACTCATCACACACTTTAGCCCTGAAGCCAGGCCATCATTTCTATCCCAACACACACCAACAGCAGTTTTAGTTTTAGTACGTTAAAATGCTAGAACAACGTCTTTAAAAACCCCTTTGCAGAGTAACCATCCACAGTGCCTGTGTTTCACACAGCTATGATCACCATCATTAATCCTCTCAATCAAAACACACACCCAAGTAAAAGATTTATTGGTTTGCAGTAAGTATGCTTATGTCACATATAAAAAAGGGCAGATGCTTTCCATCATTGTTTTGATACTAAATATCTCAATAGTTTAAACTATAGTTTAAGCTGCATAATAGGAGATGACAAATCTCAAAGGTGAGATACTCTTACTCAAGCAATGGTTTATAAAATGCATTTGTAGTTTGTTGCCGTAGTGAAAATATTCTTGGGCTATTCCTTTCTGAAAAATACTTTTCCAGATATTTTTCTTAAGGCAGAGTGGATGATTTAGAAGAGGTATTTTATGTGGTATTGTGACTATCTTGGCTCAGTCGAGCTGCAAACTCCACCAGTGTTCTTGTGGGCCGCCCTGCCATGCCTTTTCTAAGGTAGGGCACCTCATCTTTATTTGACATCACACCAGCTATGTCTAGATGAGCCCAGTGGGAGGCAGTCACGAATTCCTTCAGGAATGCAGCAGCTGTGCACGCTCCTCCAGCTCTGTGGGAAGCAACAAAACCGTGCTGTTTCTAAAGCAACACCAACAGCAGGAACATGAAAGGACTTCACTGAAGGGAAGGGGCACATAAGGATGCTGATACAACAACTCACCTGCTGTACTTGCCAATGTTACTCAGGTCTGCAAGAGGAGAGTCTGTTACTTGTTTTGTGTAGTGCTCAAAAAGAGGCATTCTCCAAACTCTGTCTCCTGTCACGACGCTGGCCTGAAACAGAAACAGTGACAGCTTAGGCAAATTTTTCTTTTATTTTTTCGAACTGCATTGATAAGCCCCAGTATCACGTGTCCTTATTTTTGTTTAGCTTTGGTTAGTCTAAAAAAATCTTTAGCCCAATATAGTACTAGGTTTTTGGGAAAATATTGCAAAATGAAACAGTGTATTTCAAAAGTAGCAAATCCTACTTTTTTGGGGGACTTCAGTGTTAGTCAAAAGCCAAAATCTAAAGACTGGGGTTTCAGTCGGTTTTTTTTTCCCTCCCCCCCCCCCCCCCCAATCTGCTCTTCAGAGGCTTCCTTTAGCCATCACATTTCTGTCACTCATGAGGCCCCGCTGAATTTTGGTCTCAGTGTTGTTAAGCAAGATCAGTTCTCTTTTTAACATGAATGAATCAGAAAATGGTTTGGGCTCGAAAGGTCCTTAAGATACTTAGTTCCAGCCCCCCTGCCCCAGCCTTGAACACCGCCAGGGATGGAGCATTTACCACTTCTGTCAATTCCTTTCAGTAAGCCACAGCTTATGCATATGCAGTAAGTTGTCATAACATGCAAATCCTCAAGATGATGTGCATGCTGCTTGCTGTATGATATGAAACCTCAAAAAAGATCTAGTAATTCATAGTAAAAATTATTAATTATTTTCAATTTTGGTACAGTACTAACACCATTCCTACCAGATTTCAAAATGTAGTAATATCCCTTTTAGAGTCACATAAAATAAGACTTTCAGTAATGCACTAACTTTTCAGTAACAGCTATTACTGAATTACTACTATGATTTAACAGCTCAGCTGACCTACCTCATAAAGGTGATTCCAAAGCCAAGATGAGTTTGTGAACACTCCAGTTGCAGCAGACCCTAGTGCAACGTCCATGGCACCTACAGAAACACACCTTTGTGGTTATACAACAAAGGCAGAAAGTGGACCTGAGATATTCCTCTGCATCCTGACTCCTCACAGAACTTTCCACTTTTAATTCTGAACTCTGCAAGAACTAAAGATTCTAGTACACCTGCATTTCTAGAAGTTTAAGTGTTATCCTATTAGATTATACAAATGTATTAACAAGAATTCATAAAACTTACATTTTGTATCTCATTAAACTACAATTTTTGGGTTTCAGCTAGATGTTTTTAGCAATATTCCAATAGAATGCATTCAGCAATAGAAGTGTCCCCCCCAAAAAAATCCCAATTTTATTGCTTATTGTGAAAATGCAAGGGAGTGAACATTTTGCAATTTAGAGACCTAAAATTTCCAAGCTGATACTTTCTCTTTTGTGAATTTCACTTGCAGAGATACTAACCCATGCCTACACCAGAGGGATTACTTACATATTTATTTGATGCCACAGAACTGTTTCTGTAGTGCAAACACTCAATTCTCAGTGAGATTAAATAAAAAAAAGAAGAAAAAATGTAGTTTAACAACATGGTATGTCAGAGAAATTTCTACAGGAGCTCTTCTACCCTGTGCTTGGTGCCCAAGGATTCCAAACACAGAATAATCTACAGTGGGAGTAAACTTCTATCATGCCCTTTATATGACAATACTTTTATATAAGCAAATGATCTTAAAATCATCTTCCCTTCTGTCTAATCAAATTTTCCACAGAATTTGAACTGATAAAGTGGATGGAACATCACTTAAAGCACTAGGAGAGAATATATAGAAAGATAATGATTTTGCTTAGTATATTCATTAAGCAACACAGTAGACTCCTGTTTGAACTACTCTTCCATAATTGCTCCATTTCAGCTACAGTTGCTCATGGGTAGTTCATGAGATGCGTATACAATGCTGATTTTAAATTTGAATTATAACCTCATTCATATACAGCTGTAGAGATGAAACAAAAAACATGTTATTATGCCTGAAAGTGTGCAAATGGCACATAAAATAAGAGATACTTCAGTCAAACAAATTCTTGGGAGCATGATAATAACACTCCTATTTTATTATCTAGAATCATGGAGACCTGAGCTAGCTCACATGATGGAAAAGCTGGTGCAGGCTAGCTCAGAGCTCAAGCACTCAGGAAGCCCTTCACAAAGAAGCTATTTTGACTCCATTATGGCCAGTGCCATATGGATACCACGCCAGTATCTCTGCATCATGTGGTCCCAGAAGCTGGGAAGGCTTAACTCAGAAATGGAAGAAGCGCTGGGAAACATTGTGCAGAAACATCCAAGTCTGCATAGGTTTTCCTGCTTAATTCCAGCTCAGCTGGGCCAGCCCAAGTCCATCTGTGTTGCTACATGCCAATACCCTCCCCAGTTCTAGAGACACTGTACAACTTGTTAGAGCACAAGCCGTGCTAGTTGTTCTAAAACACGTAAAATCATCTCAGTTGCTTTTGAATTTAGGTTGACTTTATCTACACACTGTAACTAATCCACAGACCAATTAATAACAGTAACAAAGAACTGACTTACAAAATGAGCAGGGGAGGAAGACTGCTTACCTGTTAGTGTTGCAGCATTCACAATAGCCCTTGCATTAAAACTGTGGGCATAACAGAGAGCATCAGCTAGCAGCAGTCTTCCTTCTGCATCTGTGTTATCTACCTTCAGGTGCAAAAATAGTAAAAACAGATTAACTATTGAAAACATCCCTTTCATTGACTTCTTTCTTACATGGTATCTTAAATAGCTGTCAGATTATAAATGCACTGTCACAGAATGGCAGGGCAGCCAAAATTTACTCAAAAAACGAAAATAAAAAGGGAAAAGATAGTATCAATATAAAGTTATGTTATAAAATAGAAGTGTATCTGTAGCTGAGGCCAGGTGATCTTTCAGCACTACAGCCTCCTTTGCACAGGTCTTTGTACCCAAGAAGAGCCTAGAAATGTGCCCCAGTGGAGCCCAGAAGCTGCTTCAGAGCACACACAGAGATCTGGCCCATGAAAATCACAGCTGAGGAGGATCGTCTACCATGGAGCAGCACAGGTGAATGCCTGGAAACAGCTCCTTGTTATCCTGCTTTCCTGCTTGAAACTTTTCCCCTCTCAAAAATAAAAATCAATAGCCCCTTTGTTCCTTTCCCCTTTCCGGGAAGACTGATGCCGAATTCTTCAAGATTAATTGCATGGTGTGCTCTGAGCTACTAGCACTTTCCTGCAAATTTCTTGTTGGTGGGTGAATATGTGCCCAGTTTCTTCCTTCAGATCAGGGGGCAACTAAACTCAGTTTTGGGAAAAGAAACTCAGGAAACTGGAAGGTTCAACAAGTCGAAGATGCAGATTCACAGAAATTCGGACAAACAGAAATACTGATTAAGCCACCTACTCCTGCACAAAATCAGTTATCCATTGCACAGTGACTTGCAGTACCATTTAATCTATTAAATGAGTATGGAACATCTTGTATTAAATATGAAATATGCATTCTGGGGTAGTGATTTGGCAACCAACAGCTCATATGACTCAGAGTTCTGATTGTCCCAAGGAGCTTGGCACTATAAAAGCCTTGGTGACGTGACCAGGGAACTAATACTTTAATGTCTTACTGCAAATAGGAGGGAAGTGTGCTGAAGGGTCACTGGAAGCAAATAATGTTCTTCACATGGACAGACAACCTGTATTTATGAGCACTATAACAACCTCTTGTGCTAAAACAAGATTTTCTAGCATGTGCAGTAAATGACCGCAC